GACCTCCCTTCAAGGCAAGGAAAAGTGTGCGTAACGGTGAGGGCACGAGAAAAGCAAGGGTGGCTGTCCCCGCGGTTTGAGGGCAGCAGTAGCCCCCCCGCCCACAGGCTCCCCAGAGCCTTGGGGCGACTACTACTACTACTACTACTACTACTACTACTACTACTACTACTACTACTACTACTACTACTACTACTACTACTACTACTACTACTACTACTACTACTACTACTACTACTACTACTACTACTACTACTACTACTACTACTACTACTACTACTACTACGCTACTACTACTACTACTACTACTACTACTACTACTACTACTACGACTACTACGACTACTACTACTACTACTACTACTACTACTACTACTACTACTACTACTACTACTACTACTACACTACCACTACTACTCTACTACTACTACAACTACTACTACTACTACTACTACTACTACTACTACTACCACTACTACTACTACTACTACTACTACAACTACTACTAACTAGCTACTAACTACTGCTACTGCTACTGCTACTACTACTACTACTACTACTACTACTACTACTACTACTACTACTACTACTACTACTACTACTACTACTACTACTACTACTACTACTACTACTACTACTACTACTACTACTACTACTACTACTACTACTACTACTACTACTACTACAATTATTATGCACCTCTTCGACAAATACTTCACATCATCACCGCAAAACTGCGCCGCATCACGAGCCAGAGGGGAGCCTGCCGTCAACCAAGCCGCACGGTGCAAGTACCTCGGCGAAACACTCGACGTCAAGCCGTGAAGCGAGAGGGCCAGGGCGGCACGGAAAGGACGAGCCGTGCGAGGAAAGGCCGGACTCCTCAGGCCCGATGTGTACGCGACGGCCCACAGTCAAAAACCCTAATAAGGACGCGCTGTAAGGACGCAAGACCCTTGGAAGCCGAAGTTGGGATTTTTGGGACGGCGGACGACGAAAACCTCAAGGACGCAAGAGCAAGGAAGAGCAAGGACGCAAGGGTACCCTGAGCAAAGTCGCGCGTCCTTATTAGGGTTTTTGACTGTAGTACCTCTTGGGAGGGGGGAAGAAGGAAGGTGGGCGACGATAGACGAGAGCTCGTGTGTCCGGAAGTCCTCAAAACGCGACGCGCACACCAGGGTCCCAGACGAAACAGCCGAAAGGAGAAGGGGGAACGGAGGGCTCGGGAAAGACCGGGAAAGGGGTGGGAAAGACCGGGATAGTTAAATAACGATGCAAGGTAGGCTACCCAAGTAAACCACGTCTGAATGTACACAGCGTGCCACCAGCGCGCCACGCTAGCACAGCCCCAAGGCGGCAGGAGGGTAAGCTTGGCAAAGTGCCTGGGCTTTGCCGCCCGCGGCCGTGCAGAAGCCCGGCGCTTGCACACGACTCGGCCCAAGCCATCAATCAATCAGACAACAAGCCCGGCGATGGGAGACGAAGGAAGGAATACACCGTTGAGAAACATGGGAACACCGACACAAAAAAGAACACAAAATGAAACGCAGAAAGAGTGAGAGGACACATGCTGGAAGAAAGTGCGGGTTGAAGTCGCACGGCAGCGGCGCAGCTCACGAAAGCGAGGTACGGCTTACTGCCCGACGCCCACGCAAAACAGCGTAGACCACACTACCTTTACCACAAAGTTTGCACCACACATGTTGCATCGCAAATGTGGCGCTACATGACTTGCACCACATAGCTTGCACGGCATGGCATATACACAACATCGCTTACACCACATAGACTGCCCCACACAACTTGCACCACATAACTTGCACCGCGTAGCCTAAGGAACCTATACTGTACCACAAAGCTCGCATCACGGAGCTTGCACCACATAGCTCGCACATATCCACAGGGCAACAATTGTCAGCGTGGACCTCCAACAGTAAGCTGTTGCACTGTGGATGTGCCAACTGCATCCCCATGACGAGAATGTTCCGTCGTGTGCCTGGAACGACGGTTCGACGTCTTGAACAAACGCGTATGAGATAACCACCGTCGGGTCCAATTACATCCGCGCGGATCCAACTCCGGTTTTGTTTTGTGTTTCGGAGGGTCACTCTCTCCGCGCGTATCCGATTGCGGATATTCTGGATCCACTTCATGACTTGTTTTTTGGGGTTCGGCCGATCCGATTTCTGCCCGTTCAAACTTATACTATTAAATTTCGAGAATGAGCGTGGGGGGTTGGGCGAAAAGGTCCCGGCAATATTGGCTCTATGGGCCATGCATGCGCGATGCATCCTCGATTGTTGTGCTCGGCGGGGGAACCAAGTGAAGCTCCCCGCCTTCACACTGCGCGAGACTTGAGGGTAACAAAACAAAGAGGCGGGGCACTGGGGAGAGGCGACGACGACAACGTGCCCTGAGGGCGCAAGACGAGAAGGCTGGAATAAACGAATGCGGCGAGGTGAATGTCTTAATCTGCCCAGCCAGGCTGACATGCAGAACGCTGCGTCTCAGTTCTGGGGGTCTTGAGGGCCAGGGCAAACTGTGAATTCACACTGCGGGGAAAAAGCACAATGTGGATTCACATTTTGGGAAAGGGGATAATGTGAATTCGCATTGTGGAGAAAAGACAAAGAAACAACAGGGAAAAACGTGAATTCAAATTTTGGAATTTAGCATAAGATTCTGTATGAAGGGGACGGAGTGTGAATTCACATTTTGGGAAAAACACTTCACATTTTGGAAAAAGAAAACTGTGAATTCACATTCACATTTTGGGAGAATGGCGGGGCCCGTTCCAAATCTGTCACTTAGGAAACAACGAACATGTGAATTCACATCTTGGGGAAAGGAAAATGTGAATCGACAGTTATTTCGGGAGAAAGGCGGGTCCCATTCCAAATCTGTCTTAGGGGTCGACAAGACATCGTTCGGGAACATACGCGCAGACCAATCGCACATTCAAGCACTTGCGCTCCACTTCGCCGCCCCACGCGCGATATGCAAGAACGCCCGCACGCATGAACGATAATGGATGGACGGTGCGTTTGCCCGCGCGGGCAACGCGCGGGCACGAACGAATGGCCCTTACATGACCGTCAACATTGGATGTCAATCATACCCTATCATAGACATTAACGATATAGCGGGCATACACGGGCTATTCAGCCCCTATTGCGGCCCCCCTGTTGCGGACCTCTTCTTTCACCATCCAGTAACTTTAAACAGGGAACTGGAAGAAATCCGATCCGCGGACCTCGCGACCCGCCCGTCTTCAAATTATAGGGGAAGAGGGGCTCGGTTATCACCTTTCCAAGATAGGTCCAGCGCTGTGTCACGCACTTCCATCAACTCTCCGCGAGCGCGGGCCCCGCTGAACATGGCTACATATCTCTCCTCCTGGTTGCTGCGAACAAATCGTCCGGTCGCCGTTCGTTCGACGGCGCCGACGTTGTCTCGCGAACTCCTCATCGCCATTTTTACCTCACAGGTGGTACAAACTATGTGGTGCAAGCTATCCGGAACAATGCTTGTTGTGTGAGCTCTGCGGTGCACTTTGTATGATGCACGCTACGTTGTGCAACCTATGTGGTGAAATATAGGTCGCGTGATATATGCAGTGCAGGCTACTTGGTGAACGCTCTGCGGCGCAGGGTGTGCGGTGCAGTACCTGTGGTGTAAGCTGCGTGGTGTAAGCTACGTGGTGTGCAAGCTGCCTGGTGTGAGCTGGCTGGTGCAGGCCCTGTGGCAAGAACTGAGTCGTGGAACACGTGCGCCCGCCCAGCGCACGAGGCGCCCACGGGCGGGCGCCAGGCGGGGCCCAGGCGACACCCACGGCACGCCCAACCAACGCACGAGACGCCCAGGACGTGCCCGGGGGCGGGCGCCGGGCGGCACCCACGGCACTCGACGCACCCACGCCTGCGCAAAAGGTGCCCGCGCGCGCGCGCACCAGCCAGAAGCCTGGCACGCCCGCCCAGCGCGAGGTGCGCACGAGGCGTCCACGGGCGCCCACTTTTCTGGGCACCAGCCCCGAGCCCGGCACACACGCACGATCAGCTACCTGAAGCAGCATCAATAAGAACCCCTAAATGCAAGCACTGCTTCGGGAACAGCTTGCTGCCTTGGTTCCACGCTGGACAGCCCCGAGTTTGTCATTCCCCACTCCTTCCTGCCGCAGACACCATGCGGCGCGCTCCCCATAAGCTGCCGCCGTAGTGGGGAGGATGGATAGGTAGGATGATGGATAATCGCATAGGAATTACATATTTGAGCTGTTGAGGGGGCTAGGGACGGGGAGAAGATGACGGATGACAATGGAAGAGGGGAAAGGGGAGAGGAGGGGGGACGAGGGAGCAGACGAGAGCAGCAGGATGGGAGAGGAAGGGATAACAGGCAGGAAGAGGAGGAGAACGAGGAACGATGAGGAGGAGGAGGAGGAGAAGAAACCATGAAGAGGAGGAGCGCACAAAATTAGATTATCAATGGGAAGGTGGACAAGAGGGAGATAGAGATTCTGCGGGGCAGGGGGAGAATGCGCACGATGGCGGGGAGCTGCAGGAGAAGGCGGAGCCATCCGCATCATCAGCTGGAGGAACAGGGGGGAGCAGGAGCATGCAGCGGACGGGGACACGAGGACGATTACGAGGCAGAGGAGGAGGAGGAGGCAGAGGAGGACGAGAAGGAGGAGGAGGATTAGGAGGAGGAGGAGGAGGGGAGGAGGAGAGGTAAGGACAGGTTAGGAGGAGCATGATGAAGCGAATCTTACCTCACGAGAAGAGAAACAGGGTGTGCAAGATCAGGGAGAGGAGAAGGATGCTGCTGATGATGACGATGAGGAGGAGGACGATGACGATGACGATGCCGATTACCGATGACGGCTACGATGACGATGATGATGACGACTATCATGATGATGCTCATGATGACGATGACGATGAGGAGGATTAGGAGAAAAACAATGAGCAGGGACACAAAATAACCACACTGGCGAGCCCGTGGGTCCAGTGCGACAATTCGAGCGGGGTTCCGCGATGCCGCAGACAGTCGAACAGATCCAAGGCCATGGGCCACTGGGTGCCCAGGGAGCAGGCCATCATGACGCTGCTGTGCAACCTTACAAGGACCCGCCAGCCCAAGCTGATGCACGGCCTCATCCGATCCTGCTTGGGCCGGTCCGCTCCATTCCAAAGCGCGGGCCCGTTCGACTGCCCTGACCCCGATTGACCGATGCATCCGCTGGATCGGTGGTCTGACCGCAATCAACGGATCTTGACTGCGTGCACGGGGGGATACGGGGGCGACGTTGGACGGCTTCTCAGAAGGAGGCTGTTTCTGAAAAAAACGCTGGCTTTACATCTACACGCGGGTCGGACGAAGTAGGTAAAAACATGAAGTAGGAAGGCGGATTAAGTTGATTGGGTCCAGGCCCCCCGGAGAATAACAAAACACAGCAAAAGCGTGTCGATTCTTGAAGTAGGAAGGCGCTTGAAGTCGATTGGGATCTGGGAATCCAACAATACCTACTTTCAAAGACTGGCGTGTACAGGCAATGCCCGTGCATTCCGAGAAGCAAGGTGCTTCTGAGCAGCCTTCCCCCGTCACCCTGCCCCCCCATCTGCGCGTGGCTGAGGATCAGCGTCCACTACGTGTGCGACTCAGGGCTGGGGGCGTGGCGCTGCCTCTTCATGGAGGCCAGCGCCAGCAGCGCCGCGGCCCATTGCCATCGACAAGCACGGACCACGTCTGCGTGCACCTCCGAGAAAGCACTGACGGAAGGAGCAATCACTACCAAAGTGAAAAGGAGCGCGGGGCGATCAGGGACGACAAGTAGTCAGGATGATACCATGTCTTGATGTTCACTCGGCATGGGAAATCATGTCGGTTTCCTCTGGGTGTGCTGGCAACGAGTTGTTCCCCCTCCTCTGGCCTCATAGTGTATCTGCACGCTGAGCCTCTGTAACTTCTCCAACAAAAGAACCTTCTCCGGCAAACGCGTCTGGGAAGTTCTCCGCGTCCACCGCTTCTTGCGGCGACCGCTGGCAGCAGCGACTGGCACCGCGGCGCACCAGGCGCCGGGCCACGAGGTGAGACCCGAGGCGGTCTGCAAGGGACTCCTGCCGCGGTTGCCGCACAGACAGCGGGCCGCAGCGCCTGGAAGAAGGGCCGGTATCGAATCGATAAGCCCGCTCGGGTCGGAACGTGTACCACTCGGGCCGCATGGGCATGAGCTCGGAATCGGATCGGATAGGCCGCGCCACGAAGCGATCGAACCGATCGCGCCACGAAACACAACAACGCGATGCCACCATCGGGCCGCATCGGGTCGTCAGATTATACAAATTTGCTATGAAAGACACGGGGCCTGGAAAAACGGGTCCTGGACCCTGGGGGCTTTGCCCAGGTGAACTTGTCCATTTTGGAAAAGTGGCTGACAATCCCAAGGCCCGTGGAAGAAACCCGAAAACTGACACAAACCTGAAGGCAAATTTCCTTCAGAACCCGTTGGCCTCATGGCAACCCAGGGGGTAAATCACATATAACAGTGGCATGGTGTTGTTTGGGCGCAAAAGTAAAACAAACGGGATCGCTAATTCTTAGACCGTGGTGTCGCCTATTATTTCATCACGGAATCGTGCATGATTCAACCGCCTGGCAATGCGTGCTTCAACCGCGTAGCCGTGCACTTTGCACTGCAAAATACACTGTACCCAACGCAGTCGTGCATCGCTTAGCCGCGCAATCATTCATTTGTTGGAAGCCTCTTGCCCACTGGAGTCGCGCATGTTTCGGCAACGTGATCGTTACTCGTTTGAACCATTTGCCCAGTGTGCCCGCGCATGTATCAACCGCGTGCGATGTCCAGCGGCGTCGTGCATACGTGATATGTATATACGTTTATGTATGTTTACGTTCCTCTTTTGATGTGTGTATACATGTGAGTATGTGTATGTATGTATGCATTTATGTGCCCTCCCATATATATATACATATATACATACAGAAACACAAATACATATACATATGTTTGCATATATATATATATATATGTGTATAATAAGACCATCACGCACGCTTCGCGCGCATATTCTTTTATAGCTGGTCGAGTGCTGACCGCATTGCGACAACAAGGCGAACATGAATAATGAAATCAACAATCTCTGTTTCCTCCCGCCTCTTCCTCATGCCTCCTCCTCCGCTCTCATTGACCGGTCGACTGGCGATCTGTCGCCAAGCTTCTTGGGGACCTCTTGACCCCTCCTGGGGGCCTCCTGGAGCGAGGATCTCGGGCTCTGATGCCGGTGCGGGAGTTCCGACGAATCCCTCCTGGATTCTTCGTGAGGATTTTTTTGGTTGGAGAGTTTTTGGATAGTTTCCCCGGAGGGGAGGGAGGGGGGGAAGAAGGTTTGTGGAACAAGCAAACCAAGCTTCTAAAAACCGTCCCAAAAAAAACGTTCAGAAACCTTCATAAAAAAACCTTCCAACATGTAGCGAAACCGCCCAATACATTCCCAAAGCCTTCCAACAATATCCCAAACAACGTTCCCCAAAAAACCTTCCAAAAACTTACCAACAACTTCCCGAACAAAAACCTTCCAAAAACCTCCAACATCCTTCCAAAACGAACCATCCAAAAACCTCCCAAACACTTTCGTCGCGAATAATCCAAGAGGGGTTGGCAGAAACACCTTCCGAAAACCTTCGTCGCGAAGGTTATTGGAAGGTTGTCTTGGAAGGTTTCTGGAATCCTGGGGTCTTCGCGGCGAAAATTTGTGACATGTTTTTTTTGGAAGGTCCCGGACATCCTGGGTTCTTCGCGACGATGTGTGTGTGTTTTTTGGTTGACAGGTTGTTTTGAAAAAAACTCCAGGATCCATGATCCTTCGCGACGACGGTTTAAAATGCAGTTTTTGCTCGAAGGATTTGCAAGGTTTTGGAAGTGTTATTGGGGAGGTTTCATTGGGAAAGTTTGTTCGAAGGTTTTGGACGGTTGTTTTTTTTTGTTTCTGTTGTTGTCCAAAAGCTTTTGAGGCGTGTGTTTTTCATTGGAAAGTTTGGGCAGGGTTTCGGAAGGCGCTTGGAAAGCACTGGGCGGTTTCGCAAAAAAATGGCAGGTGGTTTGGAAGGTGATTGTTTGGAAGGTTTCTGTTTTTTGGAAGGTGGTTAGAAGGCTTCGGGAAGGTTGTTTGGGATGCTTTTAGAAGGTGTTCGGAAAACCTTCTCACGCAAAAAATCCCTCGCCAAGAAGAGTCCAATATTCCTAGGACTTCCCGAACAACCGGACACAAACCCTCGTCGCGAAGCATCCAGGATTCCCGGAACCTTCCAAGCAAAACCTTCCAAACAACCTTCGCCGCAACTGCTTGTGGACAGATGTTTTGGCCGCGGTGCGAAAGTGTTTGCATGGCTTCGTTGTTTTAAAAATTGTTTGATTTTTTTATAAAGGAAAAAGTGTTGCAAGGTTGTTGGCATTTTTTGTTTCGCAAGTTGTTTGGGGGTTTTTGGAAGGATACGTGGGCGTGTTTGTTCGAAGATGTGTCGAAGGGTTCTTGGAGGGTTTTTGGGAGTGTGTTGGGCGGTTTCGCCGAACACGTTCGAAACTGTTTTGCAAAGGGTCCGAAAAGGTTTTGGTTGACATGTTTTGTTGGAAGGTTGTTGGAGGGGTTCGGAAGGCGTCTTCGAAGGCTGTTGGGGCGTTTTTAGAACACCCTTCCAAAAGCCGCCCCGCCCCCCCCCCCCCCCCCCCCCCCCCCAGGAAAACCTTCCAAAACCTTCCGCACGAAGAATCCAGGATGCGTCGCCACGAAGGATTTTGGAAGGTTGTTTGAAGGTTCCAGGAATCCTGCACTATTCGTGGCGAGGGTGTTTGGGAGGTTTTGTGGAGGGTTCTGGGAATCCGGGGTTTTTCGCGACGAGGGTTTTTGTTTGGTTTTTAGGCGTGTTTTTTTTTGAGGTTCCGGTTCCGGGAATCCGGGATTCTTCGCGACGAATGTTTTTTCCAAGTTTTTGTTTGGAAGGCGCCAGGGATCCTTGACTCTTCGCGAAGAGTTTGTTTGAATGTTTCGTCAAGGGTTTTCCAAAAGCCCCCCGAACAACCTTGCACGCACCTTCTAAATAACCCCCGACAAAACTTTCCAACGACAAACCCCCAAAAATCGTCCAAGAAGCCAAGGTGTTGCGAAATTGTCCAGTACATTCCAAGAAGCTTCCAAAAACCTCCCGAACAACCCCCCGCCCCCCCCACCCCCCGGGGGGGGGGAGGGCGATAGAGAGAGAGAGAGAGAGAGAGAGAGAGAGAGAGAAAGAAAGAGAGAGAGAGAGAGAGAAAACACAAAAAACCTGCAGACAAAAAAAACATTCCAAATACTTCCCAAACACTTTCAAAAACGCAACCCACAAAGCCTCCCGAAAACCTTCCAAACACCTTCCCAAAAAATGCCCTGGCGGATGACCCAACCATATGCAGTTGTGAATACCGCAATTGTGAATAGATTCCTCGGTGGCGCCCACGAACCGCATGAGGGGCGTGCCGAAATTTGGCGGGGCACACAACGCGATGGAAAACGATTGGTCTAACTGCGAGAGACTGAGCGCGGGTGAATCTGGGCGAGAGTGAGTCTAAGTGTGAATGAGTCTGCACGCGAGCGCATATAGGCGCGAATGCAATCGTGGCTTCGCCTCGCATGAATGTATACGAATGTGTTTGGTTCGGGAATGGGCGGCGCTGAGCGTGACCTTCGCACTCGCAGCACTGAGCGTGGCCGTCGCAGAAAGTTTTTCGCGGAACCCCGGCGACGGCGCCCGCGCGCCGCGACGCCCATGTCGGCGCGCCCCACCGCGAGGATCGCGCCCGCTTCCTTCCCTGGGGTGCTCCACGTCTAAATATTAAGAGTTGTTTTATCAACTCTTAAATTAAGAGTTTAGCCTGAGCCAATTTAGATGACACAGAGCGATATACAATACAACATGCCATAAGATGGTAGGACTTGAAGTACTCTAATGTTTCAGTATGACAAGAATTGTATCAATGTTATCATAATAACCATAACAATTTTCCACTCATTGTTATTACTACTCCGATTGCTATTGCTACGTTTTTCCATTCGTCGGTGGCGCGGTGCTTTGTACAGGCGAATTGTCCGTGTTATCTCCATTGCGTTATCCTTAGAGACAGGAAGAAAAGGAAACGTGTAAAAAGGGAAAGGTGGCCGCGCCAGTGTTGCCGAGATTGCTACTATTATATTTACGATTACCATCATCATCAGCACTAGTATCCTTATCACTCATCATCATAGTGAGGTCATATTACTAGTTGATTGCCCTTACTATTACTTGTAATCGTTGCAGCCGTTGTATTAGTAGTTGCAACTATAATTCGCAATCGTCGTCGTAGTCGTGGTCGTGCCCGTTGCAGTCGTAGACGTAGTCGTAGTCGCAGGTGTAGTTGTAAGTAGCAGTCGTTGTAGTCGTGGTAGTAGTAGTAGTAGTAGTAGTAGTAGTAGTAGTAGTAGTAGTAGTAGTAGTAGTAGTAGTAGTATTAGTAGTAGTAGTAATAGTCTTCGTAGTAGTCGTAATCTTCGTAGTAGTAGTAGTCGTAGTAGTAGTCGAACTATTAGTAGTCGTAGTCGCAGTCGCAGTAGTAGTCGTCGTCGTCGCCGTCGTAATTGTAGATGGAAGAAGAAAAAGTCGTAGCCGCAGTCATAGTCGTAGTCTTAGTCGTAGTCGTAGTCGTAGCCGTAGTAGTGCTAGTCGTAGTAGTAGTAGTAGTAGTAGTAGTAGTAGTAGTAGTAGTAGTAGTAGTAGTAGTAGTAGTAGTAGTAGTAGTAGTAGTAGTAGTGGTAGTAAGAGCCGTCGTCGTAGTCGTAATAGTCGTAGCCGTTGCCGTTGTCGTCGTAGTCGTAGTCGTAGACGTAAGTCTTAGCCGTAGTGGTAGTCGTAGTCGTAGTAGTCCTAGCCTCGTAGTCTTAACCGTAGTGGTAGTCGTAAGTCTTAGCCGTAGTCGTAAGTCTTAGCCGTAGTGGTAGTCGTAGTCTTACCCGCAGTCGTAGTCGTAACTCTTAGCCGTAGTGGTAGTCGTAGTCCTAGTCCTAATGGTAGTCGCAGTCGTAATCGCAGTGGTCGTCGTAGCCGTAGTGGTAGTCGTAGCCGTAGTCGTAGTAGTCTTAACCGTAGTGGTAGTCGTCGCCATAGTCGTGGCTCAGTCTTGTTGTTGCCATTGCTCTCTGGCTCCCTCTTGTTGCTGGTCGCGGCGCTGCTCTCTAGCTTGCGCTTCTTGTCCCGCTCCACAGACGACCGCTGAATTTCGACGAATTTCCAGGCCGACGTGTTGTCGGACCCTGGCCCGCACATTTACCAGTTTTGTTTGTTTGTC